CGGCGGGGAAAGCCTCAGTGCCTCCGAGCAGCTCCTGGCCCCCGGCACCGCTTTTCTAGGCTACCGGCGGGGCGGGGCGGGGCGGGCACCCGGGCCGGCCCACCGGGAGAGGGGCGTGTGGGGAGCGCCCGCCCCGAGGATCGGCCGGGCTTCACTGTGGGGCGCAGCGTGCACCCTCAGCCGGCCCGGCGTCCCTCGGTTCGGCCGCGGCGGCGGCTCGGCCCTGGGGATGGCGCGGTGCCCGCAGCCTGGAGCCACCCGCAGCTCCGCCCCGTCTACGGCCCGCGCTGCCCAGGTAGAAGTGCACGGAAAAGTGCGGGTAAAGCCCTTCACCCGCCCCGGGGAGAGCAGCGAGGGGCTCCCGGGACCGCAGCCACTCCGTGCACCTTCCCCCGCCGGCGGGACCTGAGGGGCTCCGGGTGCCTGCCCCGGCCGTCGCGGGGGACAAGCGGCGACCGGATCGGATCGGGGGGGCCGGACGGGCGGCCGCGGTGCTCGCACGGCGGCGGGACTGGGGAGGGAGCGTCTGCCTTCCCTGAAAGGAAACAGGTCTCCAAGGATAGCGGCAAGTCACATTTATAAATGAACTCGCCCCAAAGGTCCGCCAGCTAAGAAAGAGTGGGAAACGGCGGAGCGGCATTCCCGTCCGTTCAGTTTCATGCTAATCCATTATGCAAATGGGTAAATCCTGGCAACGGAGCGCACAAAAGAGCAGCCCTGTCAGGTCAACAATGCCGCCCGATCGGGGCTCGGAAGTTTCCGTAACCAAGCAGGTTCCCGCCCCCTCGGGGATGGCGGGATGATGGATGGGACAGACATTCATTTTACCTGGAAGATGTCAGGGCGCGGAGAGTGGCAGGGGAGGCGGCCGTGGCTGCAGCCTTTCACCGAGTCCCCGCCGCCGCGGCCCGGCCCGCTGCCATGGATCTTTGTTCGTGCCGCAGCCGCTCCGGCTGCAGGGGGGAGCTTTCGCCTCCGAGAAACGCGGAACGGGTGGAGGGAGGGGGAAAGAGAATATGTGTGTAAGAATGCTGGAGAAGTTTGGTGGAGCACCTTCCTTTAAACTCGGGCAAACACTGCAACCTCAGAATGCCAAATACGAAACGGGGAAGCGGGAAGAGGAGCGATGGTGTGTAACAGCTTGGCAGCTCTCCACAGGCAAACCGCGTTGAAACAGTAGGTTATTTTTCTCTCCTCAGTCACTTCAAACTCTATGGAACACGAATGAGACCTCTAGACCACCCCAGAGCTGTACAAGCCCTTTGGTCACACCAGCAAAGAAGAGTGTGTTCACTATCCCTTTTCTTTCCATTAGCAAACAACTCTGGTATGATTTGGAAGGCAAAGGGGATACAAAGGACCCAGCAGGTGAGAGCCTTCTACCCTCACAGATTCTGAACCCAGGTTCAGGATCTTGTAAACATAAAAGTTTATTGATGAACCAAAAGCAAGTTTTCCCACTTCCTCAGTGAAGAAAATATTTCAGGGGAGGGGGTTACCTCACTACTTGTCAACAAAAGACAATGGCTGGTGCCCTTCTGTTTCCTCCTGCTTGGAGCAGAGAGCAGCTCCCTGGGAAGCTAAGACTACCCTCACCTTGCTTCATCTGCAAAGAAAGAGCCCCCCCACAAGCTCTCATTCACAGGCCACAGTCCCCGCACTCCTAACAGAGTGATCAGGCCTTTGCGATTTTCTCTAGAGTCTCAGCCAAATTTTTATACAAGAGGCTTACCCCTCTCAAGTCCCCTACTTCAAATCACATCACTTACAAAAGAGAAAATACCTTTTAGATGTAGCTTATGATGCTTGTACAGGAACCCTGCAGATTAGCCACCAGACACACAATTTTATAATTAAACCAGAGTATTTTCAAATCCAGCTGTTAAAAAACATTATTTTAAAGGTTCGAGGCTTTTGCTACTAGTAAATAAAAGTGGAGGGAGGAGAAGGAGGAACTTCTCATTTTTAACTAGTGCATTTTTTTTAATGGATGAGGGGAAAAGAAATTTAAACACCTCATTTTCATAAAGGGTCTCACCGATTTGGTGATGGTCACAGCAGGTAGTCCAGAGCTGGAGGCACAGAAGGTTGTCGGACTCCACAAAAAGTCCTGGCACAGAAATATTCCTGTTTCCCTCCTGTGTGGATAAGCACCATTCCTGCCCTGCACTGCTGTCTCAAGACTCCCCCTCTCCCCTTCCCTAAAGCTGTCTAGGGAGTGTCTGGATGGTCTTTGCTGAACCAGGCGGCAGAGATGCTTCAGTCCTACAGCTCAGGTTTCTCTTCCCTGTCCAAAGGTAGGCAGAGGAATTCAATTAACTCCCTGGCAGATACAGACACTTCCCAATGGGATCTTTCACATGGAGGCAACCTTTGTTTGTTTTCTTCATGCCAGTTAGCCTTAATCCCAAAATCACCAGGGTCCATTTCAAGTAAATCCAGAAAGGAAAGCAGGATGAAACTGAAGAAGAGGAATTGCCATGAGAAGCAGACTCAAAACCTTACCTACTGCATGGGAGGGCTTCAAAGTAGTAAGGTGAAAGGTGTGACACTTCTGCTGTGTAATTTCCTCATACCTCAGGGACGGAAGAGCTTCCTCTCTCCCTCCCCCCAGCCACTCACTCACTCACTCACTGGCCCAGAAACCCCAGTGAACAAGCCCAAAAGGCATTACAGAACAGATGGGTCTGTGGAATCCACCCAGGTAATGAAAGCTTCGCGCTACCTTGCAACTGTCGTGAGCATTACTTTGTGCAAAGCACTTAGTACAACACATCAAAGTAATTCCCGAATTAAACCATTCAAGTTCTTAAAAAACAACCTGCAACTCAACATTTTCTGCTTTCAAACCCAAGGGGCTGCACTTCTATTACTGTTAAACTTCTACAGTGCAATGTAAAGTATACTTACCATAATTTTGCATCTGAAAGGGGAAGAAAACAAGAAAACATGTACTTTAATGGAAAAACATCTCTACTGGAGATGGCAAAACTAAAAATATACATTGTGCATCAAACACTGGCACATATTCTTAGGTGACTTTTGTATAATAGCTTTTGTACTTTAGTACACAAATTTAAGTGGGAAAATCACTCTGGAATATTAAATATAAACCCCAAAACACTGAGGAAGTATTTGTTTGGACTGTTAAGTGTCATGGAATAATTTAATGATAAAGGCTATGCTTTATTTTTGAGAGTTAGGCTGAGATGCAGTAAGGGAGCTGTGAGAGGTAAGAATGCAGCCTTTGTTTAGCAGTGCAGATGAGCCAAAGTACAAAAACTTAAGTGAGAGGTGTAAGCCAGTTTCCATTACACTGAAACTCCTGTATTAGAAGGAACCTTATTTTATGCACTAGACACAACTATTTCCATCCTGCTCTCACAGCTAACACAGTAGGGAAAAGGCAGGAAAGGCGGGGAGTTGGAAGGGTATGTTCTTGCCTATATGAGGAATAGACCTGGTTTAACAAGCAGGCAAAATGAATTTTTTAACTTGCTGAAGTTAGACCAATGCTGACTGCATACATGCTCACCTTTATGTGTATTTTACCAAACCTCTCTCAATTAGCTTCACTTTCAGCAAGCTTTACTTTCAGATCATCTGGGACTGCTGAAATAAGGAGAGGTTCATGAATTCAAAACATATTAAGATACTGAAGGAGAGTAACATCTTTGAATAGGGCTTTTTGGAGGACATAATTTGCAAGACAAGTATCTGAAGAGCAAAGCCATTTGGTTTAAGCTGGTGTGCCAAAATAAATAATGGACAGAAAACATGTTTGTGAAGGATAGTTTAATGACTTCCAAAAGGGCTACTCCAGAGATAAAAAATAACACCTTTGTATTCCAACATCCAATCCATTTGAACACTACCATTCCTTTCAGCAAATTACAGCTTCCATTACAGAGCTGTAAGTGACCAGCTCTCCAGTAAATGGTATTATTTACTTTTTTGGTTTTTATATTTAACAAAGATTAGGGACAGAACAGAAAAAATCTGAACCAAGAAGGGAACCAGCATGACAATGCATGAAATTGCAGGCAAGTGAAACAACTCCAAACAAAGAATTTCTAAACTACGTATCACTCTCTTCCAGAAGAGGAAACCACATAAACAACTAAAACAAATTTATACTTTATTAATGTTGACTTTTATTCAGAAACTTACTGCATACACATTTCCAGAGTCACTTAAGCAGCATATTGAGTGAACTGCAAAAATTTACTGTAGCCTTTTTATCCTTCTAGGTTTGCTACTGAGGTCTATCACTTTTTCTTTTTTACTTCTCTCAGTATGCTTCCAAATTATTAAGGAGAGTTTTCTAACAAACAATGACTGTAAACATCATAAAACCTGCATGCCATTTTCCCTTTGAAGTTATTAACTTGGCCTTTTTTCTGCAATGAAGTAATGACTTATTTTTTACAACCTAACAATCATGTTCTAGACATGGACGGTACCTATGACTAGCTCAGGCAATAATTGTTTAGATGGATAAAGCATTCATTTATGATGCTTTCAATTCAAATGAACAAAACCACAGAAAACGTGGGAACAATTCACTGCACAGTCCTCATTAGCAAGCAAGAGGCTAGGAAATTAATAACAGTGATATACAGCACTGGAAATTTAGGAATTAACAGATAGGTTAGGTGACAATTAAAAAAGTACTTATTTCCATAGTTTTATCTGCTATTAGTAATGTCTCATTTTGTCAGCACTAAACAATTAATACAATCTCCTCAAAATAAACAGAAAGATTAATTTCTGAATATAAAATGCCTGAACACATGGAGTAGTATTTTTACAGCTTCTGCAGAGAAAATACATTTATCAGAATTTCCACCGTGCTATTGTCCCAGGAAATTTGATACAGATTTTTAAATCTTTTCTTAATGAGATGAAGAAGTTCAGAAGTATCCCAATTTGAACACGCTAATCATATTGTGCAGGAAGGGAGATGGAGAGGTGATAACTGGGAGTCCAAAGAAAGACAGAGTACATTGAATTTAACATGGTTTTTCTTCACAGCAGAAGACACCTTTCTGTGGAAAGGGCAATGCAAATGACAGTCAAATAAACTTAATCCATGTATGACTCTGCTGCACAAATCAAGGATTTAATAGCCCTGGAACAAAACCACCCAGCCCTGCTTCACCCCTGCCAGGATTACACCACCACAAGAAGGAGTGAGCAGGCAGACTCTCCTTCCCTCATCTTCAAATTTATCACCACACTAAGATCTGCAATTTACTACTACTCAGTGCTTTCAACTTAAGGATTAATTAGTAAAAGATATTGGAAAACGCAATAAAAAAGTCTGTCATTAACCAGACAAAGTGCTGGAAGTTTGGTGGATCACCACCAAAGGTCAGCATTTATGACCAGTCACTGTATAACAGTACCAATTATTACTTTTCTTTATTGCCCAGCAGGGAGAACTGTTCCCCAGTACCAGACAGTGCTGCCTTCCCAGCCGTGCAGAGCAGGCTACCCAGCCTCACTCACTGCACAGGACACACACAGCTGACAGGACAGCAGTCCCAGTGGTTTCCAAATAAAGGATGAGAGAAGGAAAAGAGAGATGGACGGAACAGGAGGTAATTTCCATCTTGAAATAAAGATTATCTTGCCTTGTAATTAAATGTTATGTTGCAATTTGATTAATTATATTTTTCAGGAAATAAATTGATTCTTCATCCACTGTATTATCTAGATAGGAAATGTTATCAGACACAGACAAAGCTATTAGTCTGGTATTACTCAAAACATTTGCCAATCTGTGCCATATAGCTAAACCTGTGAGAAATAACTGTCAAATTTCTACTCTTTAACCTTAAAAAAAATTCTCATTCAAGAAGCCAGTTCTTGTTCATAACATGCTTTTATACCACTTAGTGTTAAAAGCACATATATTAAACACTTGTTATTCTATCAGTGATTTTAAATCAGGAACATTTTTAATCTGGAAATCCAACAGCATTTGTCCAAGTGCTTTACCCTGTAAGAAAAAAGAAACAAACCAACATTTATTTTACTATCTAAACATACTATCTTTTAAAAGTTTTTTTTTCTAATGGTTTCATATGAGCGTTTTTCCTATAATCAGGGTGAGAATTCATTCTAAGTTTCTTGAGTTTTCAAGCATCCAAATTTGAATAGACTGAACAGTTTCTTCCATTTATTTGGTACCTACTGCTAAAATCAATTAATTTGGGGTTCAATTCTATCTATTCATACATAGCATCACCTCACTTTGCGAGCAGTCTTCTTGACTATGCTGAGATTATATGCACACGAGCATTTCTGAGCCTATGAAACAGCTATGTAAACCATAGCATTGCTCAGGATCTCATCTTCAGGTTTAGATATTTTAAATATTTAATACTCAGATTGTACATTTGCAAAAAAAATTCTTACTTTCAGATTCACATGAAATCATCAATACAAAAGACCTCATATCCATCTGCTTTTCATGTTTATACACATTATTTATCAGTATTTTAACTATAGAAGGGATAGGCTAAATGAGTTGTCCTACAGCATGGTTCCTGTATATACTTGGAAACAATCAGAACTGTCTAGTAAATCTGCATTTTTCAAAATGAGAAATAAGTTTCTGATATTAAATTCTGCAATTAGTTTATGATAAACTAATTTTGCTGGTGCATCAAAAAACTGGTGGTCTTTAAATCAGTACTGCTCTTTATGATGTGCTATCTTATTAGTGCACATCTTTTTCACCAAATATTCCAAATCTACTTTCCTATGTTGTTTTCAAACCTTACAAAACTAAATAAATATATTTATAGTTAATAGTTTAATTTCCTGTTAATAGTATCTATTAACAGGAAATTAAAAGGAAGTAGAATCAAACCCAAACCTCACAGTTCCAGCCCAAAAGCTGGTTATGAAGACACACATAAAAGATGACTTAAAGATGACATTAAAATGATGGCTTTGATACATGCCTGAGGGTCACTTCTTAGGGATGCTATACCACCACCACCAAGGGAATTCTTCAGAACAAAATTTAATCCATGGATTCCTGGTAACTCATATCTGTAAAATAAAAACTGCACATTATTTGTCAGCAGATTTTGAAAGAAACACATGTAGAGAACAAAAAAAAAAAAAAACAGCATGCAAAATTTTCATGCTTCTGATCACATCCTTTTCATGCTTCTGATCACATCTCACTGCTGAGTCAAAGTCCAAAAAGTAACAAGATTAACACAAGGCCTTACTTGCCTTCTTGTTCCTTTCTCTTACTCCAAATTACTAGCCCTTAATAGTTTTAAAGCTGGACCATAAGGTAATCATTCTCCTCTATTCAAAAATCGCCAATTTCTAATAGGGTTGTTCCTAGAGTTCTTTCTTTCTGTGAGTTAAAGTTGGTATCTGAAAGCCAGAGGTTGAAGATCCAATATGAACTTGGGTAACACAAGGGGCAAAAGAAAATATTTGTATTAGCTCCTAGTTCTGATACTGAAAAGTACAATCACTTAATTCCTGGAACTCACTTTTGCTAACAAATGCTGCCAGCTAATTGGAAAGACACCCTCTTCATTACTGAGAAACCTCTGTGAGTCACTACATCAGCTCTTACGACAAACAGATAACTTTATGGCAAATTCAAATCAGAGCTTTCCTGGAGCCATGCACTTTGTTCAAATAAAACTTTATTTTAGTGTGACAGACCTATGTTTCTGTTCCATCACCACTGTAAGCATTTTTCCATCCTTGCTTCTGACTGGTGCAGTTCCAATTTGGAAACTTCCGTAGCAGTTTGGCAAACGGCTCTGTGGTTTCCTATTGTTTCAAATTCCATAAATAGGTCTACAGTATATTTCCATTTGCCTCTCCTTGCAGTGTTTTACCATCTTCTTTCTATTGGTTTTCTTTGGTTTTGCTTTCCTTCAATATTTTCTTCATCCAAGTACCTGATAGCTTTGCTTTAATTCCATAGGAAAGAATTTAAATCAGAACATCATCAAGCCATGAGGAATTAACAAAGATGATATCCAATTTAAATCCTGCTTCCTCCAACATCACTTACTTTGCTTTAGTCACCTACCCGATCTTCACTTGTTTGGGACAGATTCTTTACATCTTTCCCCTAAAAGAGGCGCAATTTCTTGCAGTGCTCTTACACTGCTGATTTTATCACTTTGAGGTTTATCTCTTTCAGCTCCTTTTGAGCACTGTGAAAACCATGGCTGTTGTTGGTGCTCACAGCCCTGTCTGCCCTTTTATTTTGGGCACATGACTTAAACCTCTCATAGAAAGAGATGATTCTGCTGAGCAGCCTGGCAATCACTTCAGTTCTTGTTGTAGAAAGCAAGAAGTCATCGGAGTGTCCATGTCTGTCTCCCAGGCAAAAAGTTTCAATGAGTTCCTTCAACTTTTTCACTACCCCACTCTTCATTAGTGTTAGTATTATTAGTCATTATTAAGAAAAAAAAATTGGTGTTGGTGTTCTGTTACCCTTTCTCAAAAACTAGTTGACAGGCACCATTATCATGCTTAAAGACAAATCCACTGGGAAGGCAGGAAAGTAGATTAATCTATCAGTGCTCATTTAGACAACAAGAATATGAAGAATAAAGCAATTCTACAAGAAGTTACCTACCTAATTTACTAAATTTAATACCATAATCAACTATATGGCACAACCCCACCAAATTTTCTGAAAAACTAAATAAAAATTTCCAATCACCACATACCACAAAAGCCAGAGATCTACCAAAGCAAAGCACTACACTATGAATTTTACTCTGAAAAGCTGGCAAAGACTTCCAGACAGCAAAGAATTTCACAACTGGAAGAGGTCTTCTCAAGAACTAGACTGATGGAATTTTGATTCCTAATAGCTCACCTCTCAAAAGAAGTGTCATGAAAATCAATCAGGAAAAACAAATCAGGAGAGAAAGTTCAGAGCATATAAATGCAGATACATGTAAGTGAAAGAATTTCATTTCACTTTCTGCAGTAGTTTTGGCAGAGGAAATATGCAATACAAGCAACAAATCTTAATTTGGAACACTATTACATGGCATATTCATTCTATTTACTTTAAGAAACTATTTACAGTGGAGTAATGTAGCTAAAATGAGAATTACAAAATAATACAGCATGGCCAACATCTTCACTATTTTAAGGCTTGTCTGTAGCATATGAGCATCCAAAATATTTCCACAAAGAATATAAACTTGCACAATAAAAGGAAGAAAAACTACTATAACAATTATAATAGTCTTAAGTAGCAACAATACATTGACCAAAATGCTGGCAGGCATTTACTCAGCATAATTAAACAATTTAAGCTTAATTATCTGAGATCTAAAGGAAAAAAAATCTAATTGTACAACTTAATTAAATGTTTTAAGAGCTGCTTTTAAAAACACAGAAAACAAATAAACCTTTCAAAGAATACTGTATCTGTGACAAAAACCAGTAAGACAAGGAGTATTCACTGTTCTAGCTGAATTCCTATGCTTAGGCACAACGGAGTGCCTGATTAACTACTTTCTTTAAAGTGCTGTCCATAGTATTCAGAGAAGTAAGGTCTTCTGGTCAATCTCCCATTAAAAAGCATGGAAATAATAATGATGTAAAATTATTTAATGCATTTAAATCAAGGAAAAGACATGATTCTTTTCATCACCAGAAAGCAGGAACCAAGTCCATAGGCTTAAAGAAGTGTTTGCATATGAGAGATACTGTAGAGAAATACTTATTTTTCCTAACAAATGTATGTAAGAAAAAGCCATCTAGAAGGATCAGCATCCACATTTCTTGTTCTTCAGCTCCTGGTGAAAACATCGCATAGGAAGAAATCAGCTGTGAATTTATAGTATTTCTGAGCATTGAAATGTTTTCAAAACATTACACATAACACATTTCAGAAGATGAAAATAGAAAAATCTTACAGGACAGTTTTACTATCCTTCTTAAATTACTGACCTGGTACCACTGCTTAGAAAGTTTCTTGTTCTGTACCTTAAGATACTTGGATCTGTTAAGAATGTACAGCAGCACTCTACTGTGGGAAGCAATCACCTGAGGATTGAAAGACCATCTTTTTCTATTATTTTACCTGCAGATCTGGAAATTCATGAGCTTTCAGTGTCCTCTACCAAAATAATCCCATTTTTTCTCTGTTTAGTACACCTATTTAATACCTCTAGTGAGAAAGCATGAAAGGCAGCTGGTTAATAGACTGTTCTGTAGTGAGTGAGAGCCATGGTTGGTATGTTTATAGTAGCAAAACTAATACATAGTTTTTAACTACTCACTATTTAAATAAAAGAAATGAAGGGAAATCAGACAGTAAGACAACTCTTTTTTAATGACAGTTAAAACTAAAAAATAAACAAGTAATTAAAAAAGAAACTACACAATCTGAAGCACATGAGCATAATCCTTATAATCCTAAATATTTCCACAAAAGGTTTTATTCTTTTTCCCCAGTAGCTTTCCAATTTACTCACAGAGCTCCATTATCACATCATTAAAGGAAGCCAAAACCACAAACAGATAATCTAATTAATCAAATTAATTTGGCTACATCCAAAGAGAGAAAATTTCTACTTCTATTTATGAACATAAACAGCATTAAGGAATGACAATGAATCCACTTCTACTATCATTAGGAGGAATGACATTGTTTATTTCTTCTTGTCTCTGCTCTGTTTCCGAGGAAATTAAATTACAATTCTTAGTATCACTATTTATTAGATACATAGATTTGTTAGCACTTATGAAACAGTGGGTGAGATCTGCACTGAGCTGCTTATGAAGACAAAACCAGCACTTACAATTCAAAGATCAGGGGTTAAAATAACTCCAAGCTCTCTCTGAGCTTTGAGCTGTACCTTTCCGACTCAAGCTTTCTGAACAAACAAAAAGACAGGCAACCGTTTATCCACTACCCATGGAAATACATAAAGGATTTTAGCAAAATCTCCTTATATGCAACAGAACAGACTTTGTATCAAAAGATGTTTTAGAAGACTGAATATTTAGTGGCAGTATTCAGCTTTTACTTGTTTTCAAAGAGATAAAAAGGTTTAAAATCTGTTGACTATTCTACTGGACATCCTTAGGAGAGCGAGCTTCATTACCTCACGCTACAGCAAGAGCAGTCTATATTTCATTCAGTCCCCAGGAAGGGCCCTGAGCATCAGTCATAACACAAAAATAAGAATGTTATCTGCTGGCAAAGAATATTCTTTAGGAGGTGACTATCACATAAGTGTCCTGTTTAGGATGTATTCTCTTTCAGATTTTAGGAGAAATTAGCGATGTTTTTTCTTTAAATTCTGGCATAGTATAGATAGCACAAAAGTGGGTGAGCGTGAAGTACTAGAAGGAATATATTAAAATGCTTTGGAGAAACAGGGACAGTATGAGGCCCATTTCTGATGGATCATCAGGTAAATTTGGGCTCCAGATCATAGTGGCTGTGTGAATGTCTTTCAGGTAGTGTTTTACAGATTTCTAACTCTCAGTTCAGCACTGGCTCAGAGGCTTGGGAAGCTTCAGTTTTTAAGGCTCCTGCAGTTCCCAAATGGTGCAAAACCAGTGGAAAGATAAATTTCTCAAAGGGCATTGGAAGCTATTTCTAGTTGGTAAAAACATTCTGTATTGGCACAAAACAAAGGAACAGCCCCAACACTACTATGCTAATTCTGAGAATTTAAATGCCTTCACTAAACGGATTCACGGCCTTTGTCCAGCTTCGAGAGAGGCCCAACTTCATGCTCTCAGTGACTATGCTCATGTTGTTATTTAAAAAGGCAAAGGAAGATACATTAAAAAACCCAAAGAGAATACATATAAACTCACAATATTTATATTAACATATTTTAAGATAACCTCTGATACCATCATGTATCTACCAGACAACTGTGGGATGCACAGCAAGCTACTCACCTTGTTACTAGTTCTTCTTCTGGTTTCTCATGCTCTAAAAGGTGTTGAAAGTAATTCTGCAGGGCTTGAGCAGTTAAAGTTTTCTTTAAGTATGGATAGTAGAGGGGATGCCGTGCTATCACACCTGTTAGGCATTAAGTGGCATTAGATGAAATAGGAAATGCTAAAACCAATTTGTATTTATCCTTTCAAAACCAATTTGAGGTCCTCCGCTTAACTGAAACTGTACATATGGATCCCCTTTAATGAGCTCCTGAATAAAAAACACAACAGTATGACAGCTCTCCCTCTGTCAGTAGAGATGTAGTGTGGAGCATGACACCAAAGAATGCTAAGTTACCACTAAGTGATCAATGGATTTTTTTCTGCTGCAAACAGTCCCTGCCACTGAAAAGACACCTAAAGAACAACATCACAACAAACAACCCACAGGCAATTCTCTTCCCTTAAATGGTTTGCAAGACTTAGATATTTAAGTAATCACAATTAACCACAACAAGGAATGATCAGTGACCAAAGGTTTGGTCCTTGCCCCACCTCTTGCACGGGATTCTGACGTTAAGTATGACAAATCGCAATTACATTTTTACTTCTGTAAACATGCTTTATAAGCTTCAGCTAATTTTATGCTGAAGCTGAGGTTCCAGAGCAGGATCAGGAAAACAGCTTTGTATCACTGGGACCTTTCTAGCTGGACTTAAATTAGAGGTTAAGTTTGTTGTTGTTAGTGTTGTTCCTTAGAAAAGCTGCAGTGCCCTTGTATCTGAAGCAGTCTATTACATATACATCATTCATGACTTGGCAATGCTACACTGCAACAGTGATCAATCATGGAGAAAGAAAAAGAAAAAATAGGAAAAAGAAAAAAAATCAACATTGCTTCATTCTTCAACTCAAAAAAACTAGTTTCACAAACAAGGACAAGAAAACTATATTCCTGAATACAAATGAACAAAATTCATCAGTTTTAGCATGACAGCTAATAGCAAATCAAATCCCAAACGCACCTTTAATTCATACTGAGCTTTGAACACCACACGCTCTCATCTTCCAACAAGTGAGAGAGCCAATTGTTGCATGCAGAAGTAAGGAATAGAAGGAATTATTAAACAATGCAAGAAGCAGCACAATCAATGCAAAGAGACTGCACACTGAAATATACCATTTGCATTAGCAATATAATAAAAACATTCTTGTATGCATGAGAACAACTTTAGTGTTTCCTACTAATGTCAATGTTTTAGCCATAGACATGTTACAAAATTAATATATGAAAATATTATACATGATCAGACAACCAAGAAATTATATGATCTAACATCCATACATGAAGGACTAGCAAGTGATGTGTAAAAGAAACTTTAAAAAGACATTTCTTAACTTCTGGGAGCTCAACTTTCCAACCCAAAACAAAAACCATTCTTTTTAGTATGACATGCTAGTATTTTTTCTTAGTACCTCAGATTACAACAGCTGCTAATCAGAACACTACAGATATTTCATCAGTAAATCCATATTCAATACACATTCTCATTTGTTTCAGAACAATTATAAAAAAGGTCAGGTGATGTTTAAACAAATTAAGACTAGCATTTGATATGTAACTCTTATGTGAAAATGTTTCATCACTTCAGAAAGCAAAAGAAAGAAAAATACCTATGTTTGCAGAATTGCCTTTATCTCCACTTCTAGTATAGGCAAGATCTTCTAAGCGGTAAGTGTGTGGACCACTTGGCAGATCTGTACAACAAAAAAATTAATTCATTTTAATGGTGCTACAAATAATTGCACATTTTGAAAGAGTAACTGTCAGTTTAGGTGCATGTTTTTTGCACTGTTTGCAGTACTCTGAAAACATTTCCAGTCCTTCTTCTCACAGGAGCACCTAGAGAAAAAAAGGCAAGACTGAGGGGCCAACATTAGGAAGTTGATCCCTCCTGCTCCATCCCCCAAATCCCTTTTACTTTTTTACAGCCAAATGTATCCCCTTTTCCATGACCCTTCAATATGACTTCCATCTCGGCCTTAACAATGTACGACCTCTGAAAGAGGGATAGCAGCTGCTTGTCTTTTCTTGGCTAGCCAGTAGCTTTTGTCCCCTTAAGACACAGATCCCTGCCTCCAGTGCAGGCGGAAAACACCTGCAGTTGCTCCTGTCCTGACTGAACAGACATTACAGAATTATCTGCTAATACCTGTAGAAAAGAGTAACAAATTCCTTTTCAAGACAATGCATCTCTCATTTGCATTTGCAATATACAGCTTCTTATCCACCTGTATAGAAGAAACCTAAGATTTCTTTTTCAAGTTACTACTTTTGTAAATACCTTTATAAGAAAATGTATGCTTTCTAGGAAGCCAGTCTCAATTGTCAATGTCTGAGTATTGGATGTGTAAAGAACATGGAGGTTGTTGCACTTCACTGAATGAAATTGATACGAAATGAATTATCCATCTATGCATCAAAAAGCAAACCCAGTCCTGTCCAAATCCAGCATTTAATATTGTGGGATTCTCACAGTATATACCCGAGGTTTGATGATTGTTACACAGCACAGACCTCCTGCAATTGTTGATTATGTGTAGTAGGCTGTCACCATCTACCTCCTGTTCTCTAAAGTGAGAGATGAAGCACCCACTTTGCTAATGAGTTTGAGCTATTCATTGTTCACAGCATAACACTGCAACTTGAAGCATGGGCTATATGCAAGCTTTAGGCAGCAAGAATCGAGTAATTTTCAGTCAGTTCTGCTTCTGATCCAACTTTCCTACGGCCGTATGAACTCTCCTTGGCTTTTCAACCTCACCATCAAATAACAGACTGACCTCCACTCCTGACTCACAGTAAACTTCTCATCCCTCAGCCCTTCTCTCCTCTGTCCCCTTCCTGTCTTTTTTTCCATCCTTCTGGACACAAGTAGCAGTTCTCCCCCTCTCTCTGCTCCTTAGACACCCATAGGGGGAATATGCAGGGCAGGGAAGTAACAGCCTTCCTGCTTTGTGGCAGCTTTGGTGCAACTGCTGCTGATGGCAGCCAGAAGCAGCAAGTCACAAACGTCCTGAATTTAAAGGAATTGATACAAGGTCTTGTAAATCAATTATGCTGGACTAACTTCATGTTGCAAGGCACAATGCAATGTGAAAATACATCAGTCTGTCCCTTTTGTACTATATTGCTTCTGCTGAGAATACCAACCTATTTGGGTTGATTTTTTTTTTCCTTTTTAAATTTTGATTTAATTTTAGGCAGTAAGAGACCCAGTATTAAAGATCTTATGCTCCAAATGCTGGCCTGAGGGATCACTTAGAGCTTAGTGCACCTACCATGCAGGCACGAGTAGGTATGTACTCTGTGAACTGCATCAGGTGATCAGGTAAACCCAGCCCTAGCCTAATCATCCTAACCTTCAACTGCTTCCTGCCTACAGGAAATTGCTGACAAAGACTGAACCAGGTGAGCCAGGCTGACCTGGGTAAGAGAGAAACTATGTCCAAGTCCTACTGGCTGCAGTTTTCACTGATCCTGTCTGTGGCAGTGGCAGCTGCCAAATCCATTTGGGTATGGGGTAGGAGATATATTGGATAACAAAAATGGCTCAGTAGGGCATGACACATAATTTGTACAGTGTATCTGTGTTGGGTTGAAGGAGATCAGTCAACACCCACAGGAGGAGCTCTGCTGGCACATGTGAGTGGCAACAACAAGGAAAACATAATGAAGAACTGGGGGCTCACCACAGCAACCTCTTCTACTGGCACACTTGCATCAGAAAATCTTCCCACAATCTGCCCAACAACTTATCACCACTGAACTGCTTTAATTAAGACCTAGAGTTTTATAATATATATTGGGTCTCTGTGAAAGGTGAGCTGAAAGAGTGATTACAGTCCAGTCTGGCACATCAGCTCCTCAGTGGTAAAACTCACAGTAACATGAAATTTGAAGAAGTTAAAGCATACAGTGAGAAAGAGGAACACAGCACGCTTGTTTTGAGCTTAAAGCTCACAATCTTTTCCACATTCACTCACAAGCAGAAATGTACCATGAAATGTGGCAGAAAATATTTAAGGGTGTATTTATTTAATTGGGGAATATTTTTTGTGATTAAACATCTCCACTGAGAGTGGATCTGAAAATTCACCTAAAGCCCATTGCTCATTTTGGACAAGACTACCACACTTCCTACACTAGAGAAATCACATTAATTTTAATAATTTCATTCAATATACCATTCAAGACAAAATGTGGTGCTTTATCACAGGCTGAAATTTGACAATATCTAAATTGCATAAGTTACAGAAATCTTTTCTCCATCAGACATCAGATGTTTTACACAGTCAGTCTCTGACAATCTCCCTTTAAACAAAACCAGTTTAAGTCAGTGTTTCTGGTATTCTCATTTATTATTACCCTAATTGATTTATCTTTCATGATCTGTTTATCAGGAAATTGTTTTCATTTAATAAACATCTTAAACAAATCTACAAAAGAATTCCCTTCAAAGCTAGGGAAAATGGTAAATACAAATTCCACCCTCTTAGAAGCACATCTAGCACATATTTTAAATCCATTTTCACATATTTCTCTTATCTATTCAACGACAACTAACAGTCCCTCACCCTCGAGATAACCATGAAACTAAGAAAAATACTTTCCTCTCTAAATGCTTACAGAAAATGCTTTAGCAGAGGCTATTCCTTTTACAGTCTAACCCATTTGTCTTTCTCATCCATGCTGTCCTACATTAAGCCACAAAAGTAGGTAAGTATTTAGTCACATGCAGAAAACATTTATATTTACAACCAAGGGCAAAAGTTTAGAGATGCTTCTCAGGGGAAACAACCAGAGAAATTCTGCTGTCTCTCAAAAGTGGAATTTTGCCTGAAAAAAGGCCTGAAGAATTCAGTAGCTAACTGCTGGTGTCAGGCACCTCTGAAAGTTTTCTCAAGTTATAAGAAGGCAGTAGGGAATCCAACAGCTTTTTGTTTCTCCCATATTTAGCACTGCAGTCACCCTGGAAAAAAACCCAAACCCAGGACTTTTGCTAACTCTTTCATTAAGCCAAACAATTACTTCCTATTCCTTAACTTGCCCAGTCTGATGGTGCAAATACCACTCTGCCCTCCTGAGAACTCCCAGCGAGCTGAGAGATGCTGCTAAGACATTAGATTTCCAATAGATATAAGAGCTGAAACCTACTTAAGATTGTTGAAACCTACATTAAATTGTTTCCACACAGCACAAATCATTCTATTGAAGAGACCTTTGAATAGATGGGGAAAATAAACACATGCATGGCAATCAGGCATCCACTATCAGTGGCTTTCAAATGGCAATAAACACAAAGTCATGTACATATTTCAAAATTTCTCTATGTGATACAAACATTCCTTACTCATATTAATTGTTACACTGTTCTACTGCTAGCTTTGAGAAAACACTGCTCACCTTTATCCGGAATCCAGAGTAAACCTTAACATATAAATGCCTTAATAGCATTAATTTTTTAAGTACACACAGACTTTAATACCTGAATTACTCTTTCACCATCAGTATTATTTTCAGAAAATTTTCCAACTTGCAATTTTTAGGCAGAGTCATCTGATTGAGATTTTCAAATACCTAGCCACAGCTTTGAACTAATTCTCCCAGTTCTCTGGTAAGCAAAAATAAGATAATGAAGACTGTTTGGACCAAAAGGAAATGATGGAGCATGCTATACTTTAAAAATACTGTAAATAGTTCAGCCATTAGCAATAACAAAAATTTTCAGATGTCCAGCGCTTTCAATAATTGCTTGTATGAGCAACTCTGATTTAACATTTCCTTTTCATTGCAGACATCCTGATCTGCTCTGTTCAGCTCACTGGTTAGCCCTTCTCAAGGTTTTTTCCCTTCTCAGAGAATTTGGTTAGACAAGTCTAGCAGCAGCACAGCAACTACACAATCACACCGGATTATTACCCAGTATAGTTTCTTTTAAAGTCACCAGTTCCAGGCTGATCCCATTCTTGTTGATTTTGTGAAAGCTGCCATATGGAACAGGAGCGAATTTTAATTATCTAAGTCCTTTGAGTCCATAAATCATTCTGTTCATTTGTCCTCTATTCTGAACGCTATTTTGATGTAAGATAAACCCAACTATTCACAGGACTCACAAAAGCTAACATTACAGCACACTTTGAAATCACATTTCAATTTCAAGCCAGCTTTACATGATCTTCGGTTGTGTTTAAGGCTTAGAGGTTTTTAATAAAAATGTACTTCCATACTTCTTATAGTCTCAAATACTACACGACACTTCCAAGAAAACAGTTTACATTTGCAACAGCCATAAAAATGTATCACATAAGGAGGCAAAATGTATTTCAGAGACAAAATCCAACACCATTTACAAGGATGAAGATAGCAGATGATAAATTCACAAGTACAAAGATGAACATACCTTTCAATTCACTGCTAATCTTAGGTGGATCAAATGAAACCACCTCATCTGATGTAAACGTGAGATCCTCCTCAAATATCTCAACATGCTGCCCATTTAAAAATAGGTTGATCTGTACAAAGAACACATATTTTCAAATAGTCAAATCAGAAATCCATTACAATGTGAATAAATAAAGCACATTCCTAATTAAGTACTGATCTAGTAGATTTCCAGTAATAGCTTTACATATAAGGCTCTGTTGCTCCCTTTTAAAAGGTCACAATACAATAATAATTCTTTATAAACCTAAAAGAAATCTTTGTTTAGGGAAAAAATGGTATAAAAAACCCCAAAGGAATTCTTTGTCCAGCTTGGTATTTTTTAAAGGAAGACAAATCTCTTTCCATCTCACTCTATATACAGCAACATTGCATGTCACAACTCTTGACAGCTGAATCCCAAAACTTGAACATTTCCATCTTTTCCATGATGCAACCCTCTTCTTAATATTGCTGCCTGTATTATAAACAAACTTCTCACTGCATTCTGTGTTTATCTTCAAATATATTTTGTGAAAGCTGCTAAAAAAATACATCAATACAGGAATTTTGGGCTTGGTTGTTGCTCAGTAGCAACACTTAGTAGACTCTAAGTCAAGGACTTTCCAGTTTCCCATGCTCTGCCAGCAAGCAGGTGCACAGAGAGCTGGGAGGGAGCACAGCCAGGACAGCTGACCTGAACTGGCCAGAGGATATTCCACACCAAAGGGCATCATGCCCTTTACATAAATGGGGAGAGTGGGGAGTTGGCTGGGAGCTACCGATCGCTGCTGGGGGATAGGCTGGACATTGGTCAGTGGGTGGAGGGACACTCTGCAGGTGTGTCCCTTTCTTGGGTTTTATTCCCCTCTTACTTTTTTGTCACATCCCTTTTTTAATAATACCAACAACTACTACTTTGTTTTAATTATTAAACTGTTCCTATCCCAACTTGTGTAGCTTAATTTTTACCATTTTTCCAATTCTTCTCCCTATTACACTAGGGAGGGGGGAGGTGAGAGAGTGGCTGAGTGGCACTTAATTGCCAGCTGGAAATAAACCCCGACAGACCTTTTTCACGCTCAGCACGGGGGTTAATGGGTTGAGATAACAATAGATCTGAGTAGACTATATTAGAACAAATTTCTTACAAGCATTTGTTGCATTAGTTTAATAGCCACTGGCCACAATGACTTATTCGCTCACCAAGTTGATGTGTTTGTTCCTGAAGTTCAATTATGTACCTACCGCCTTACTTGCAGTATGTGTTCTCTGTTACAATGTTTATCACCCATGGAAACTGGGCTGAGGTTATCAAGCTGTACTTTGTAACACTGGCTAATGATATGATATAATTGCTGGTTGTGAAACTAATCTGGTATTTGCACTCAGCATTGCTGTCATCCCTGTACTTGGGAGTCATCTATCAACAACCATTGATAATTACACCTTTTACCTTTTCTCTTTGGAAACTCAGACCATGGAGGGGACACACTTCCCTTCCTCTTCCCCTTATCCTCCAGCCTAATTACAATAGATCTTGAGAATTTTAAATATACTGGGATGTTCAAAGTAGCATGTTCCTATCATTATGTCTCCACAGAATCAATTAGATTGGGAAAGATCTCTGAGATCATCGAGTCCAACCTATGATCCAACACCACCATGTCAACTTGACCTAAGTGCCACGTTAAGTCTTTCCTAAACATCTCCAGGTATGGTGACTCCACCTCCTCTCAGGCAGCTGTAGTGTGTGATAAGGTCTGCCCTGAACCTCCTATTCCCCAGGCTAAACAACCACCGCTCCCTCAGCTGCTCCTTGTGAGACTTGTGCTCCAGATCCTTCACTAGCTTTGCCAGCTTCTTTCGATGTGCTCCTGCACCTCAAAGTCCCTCCTACATTGAGGGGCCCAGAACTGGACACATGACTCAAGATGTGGCCTCACCAGTGCTGAGTACAGGGGGACAGTCACTGCTCTGCTCCTGCTGGCCACACTATTGCTGACACAGGCCAGGATGGCATTGGCCTTCCTGGCCACCTGGGCACACTGTTGGCTCATGTCTTGTGAATGTGTTCCAGGTCTTGTTTAAAGTTTAAGCAGATATTTAAGACCATTTCTCACAGATCAGCTCTGCAGAGAAGGACTTGGGGGTGATGGCTGACGGAAAACTCAACCCATCAGTGTACGTTCACAGCCCAGAAAGTCAACCCAATACTGAGCTGCATCAAAAGGAGTGTGGCCAGTCAGCTGCAGGAGGTGATTCTCCCCCTCTATTCTGTTCTTGTGACACCCCACCTGGAGGATTGTGTACAGTGCTGGTGTCCCCAAAATACAAAGGACATGGATCTGCTGGAGCAAGTCCAGAGGAGACCATGAAGTTCATAAAAGGACTGGAGCAGCTTCCCTACAAAGACAGACTGAGGGAGCCTGGAGAAGAGAAGGTTGTGTGGAGACCTCACAGCAGCTCACCAGGATCTGAAGGGGCCTACATGGAAGCTGGAGAGCAGCTCTTTGTCAAGAACAGTAGTGACAGGACAAAGGTAATGTGTACAAATTGAAAAAGGGGAAATTTAGTTTAGATATTAGGAGGAAATTTTTCACAGTGAGGGTGGTGAAACATTGGAACAATCTGCCCAGGGAAGTTAAGGATGTTCCATCCCTGAGGTATTCAAAGCCAGGTTGGTTAAGGCCTTGAACAACCTGGTATCCCTGCCCATGGCAGTGAAGGTTGGGACTAGATGATCTGAAAAAAAGCATGTCTTCAAGGAAAATGCTGTATACCACCCAGATAAGAGCACCACAATACAGGGAAGAATCCAGTTCTTGAAAGAAGAAGAATTAGCCATGCTAGTGATGATTTATTGTGACCTAACTAATGTGCAATTAGTCAGGTCAGATCCAGATGAAGCCCAATTCCCGTGACCCACAGGAGAGCAATTTGTGTGCAGCACATCATCACTGTATCCCAAGTGACTGGCAGCAATGACCTGAGAGAGACAGAGGCACGAGCCATGGATCAAGTGGCTCAACACCTCCAACAACATGGGGAAAAAAAATGTCTTGCTCCCTGATGTATATATGAAGCAGTATCTCAGCTTTTAACAGTAATCATCCTTTTGATCAAGAGGAAGGATGTAGAAAGTACACACACAGCAGGCTACCCTTCAGATTTACCTGTGGGACCACAGATAGGACATGAAGAAGTGGGATGGAAGTGAATAATGGCATTCATTACATCTGTATTGGAGGACTCCCAGTATGAAAGATTCAGACACAGTCAGGTTAAACTTCCAGAACAAAACAATATAAATTAACTTAGCTGCAGCAGTTATTAGTGCTCAGTTGACAGAAAATGCAAAATAACTCTACTCAGCACTCTTTCTTAAGATTGTCCTTAAAGAATAACTAATAACAACTTGCCTTCAGTAGCTTTGCTGCAATTTCTCCCTATGTAAAAGTTTTAGGTTACCTTCAAAGCACACATGGAAAACAACTACTATTTCAACTGGTGAACTGAAATCACTGGTGATCTATGATAAAATCAGTACAATTGCATAAAAGCAGTGGAAACAACAAACAAGACATTGAATCCAAACTGACATCCAGAAAGCTGTTACCTAACACAAAAGAAAAGAACCCACTGTGGCAATGTTAACATAACTCATAATCTGCTTATGGAATTTTTTTTAGTTTTAGGTCAAATGCTGATCTAAACAAACTAGACTCTTTGTAACTGAACTTCTAATTTAGAAAATCAGTTAATTCATACCATACTCACTCTGTAATCTCTTATTGAGCAATATTTTTTAAAATACAGCTAGAATTTTGAATCAAGGACTTGAATCACACCCCGTTTTTACCCTCAGTATTACTGCAGGACAACAGTGATAGGACACACTGCATTTTGCTGACAGCATAGCATTGCCTCTATCAGATTAGTTACACAGAGCAAGGACTTTGATTTTCTGTATTGAGAAGAGTAAATGAGACAATTTTATTGTTAAATCAGGTTACTGTTTAATCTCATCAGCATTTTACCAAGTCTGGAACACAGCGCTAATTAAGTTAGTTAATACTGAATTTGAACAAGACATTGGTAGACTAAACTTCCATAAAGATAATAATGTCACACTAAACTTGGCAAAGACAAGCCATTTGTATAAGGCAACACATTAAGTGATGATCAAAGTAAGTAATTCAACTTTAGACAACAAGAAAAGTGGGGGTTTCTTTGATGTTATTCCACTGTGAAGAGTTTGTAATTAACTTAGATTTAATAACTAAATTGCATCCTCTGTATAAAGCTGTGAAATGAAAATATTTTCCTTTAATGAAGAATACTACTTAAAGAATAGGGCTGGTTGTGCTAAGCACTGTATGAATGTTAAAGAATGAAAACAAAACAGTCCCTTTCTGATCATGTTGTTTTGTTTGCTCCCCCCTGCCCACTTTTTCACTTGCTGCCCGTGCTCCCAAAGCTTCCCAGAGCCACCCTAAGCAGAAGCCTGCTGACCAACCTGTGACCTGTTAGGTCACAATATCTGTGGCCTAGCAGAGACTAACATTCCAGCCTTGGGCCACTTTCTTGACAGAGGATGGGTGAGAAGGTTTTTACTGAGTATTAGGATGCCTTGGCATGAGAGAGATGCAGTAGGTACAAGCTACTTGAAAAAGAAAGGCATATATCCAGTTTTGTCTGCAGTTTCCAAATGATAAATTCAATACCTAACAGCACTCAGAAGAACAGAGACAATGTTTATAAATGCAAGCACTTTATGGTTTCAGCAAAAGCAATTTCTTCAAGTTTATCTTGAAATCTTTGAACTAGACAGGGGTATCTGCACCACAGAAAAGAAGTAGGCCCTAGATGAACATGTCATCTTACACTGCAATGTCTCACCTAGGCCACCTATACATCTGAACTGTAAATTCTTGGACTGAAAGAAACTATTGCTGAGAACTAAACAGGGGCAGAGAGTCACAGGCTCCCCCATGACAGCACAATAGTAGCACAGGCTTTCATAATTTGACAGGTTTTGTAATACAGGCAAGAATAGAAATTACTACTATTTTTATAGACCTGTTATAAACCTGTCCAATCAGAGGAAATGCAATGATTTTAGTATTTATTTCCAGTAGTATACACAAAATACATCACACTCCAAAAACTCACAAGAAGTATCCAAGTTCACAAGATTAATGTTCCATTCTCTGAACACCCAACTGCTTACTCCTTAAAGAGACTCCATTAACCTCCAAAAAAGCCTACAGTTTTCTTAAGCACTCTTTGCAAATGCAGTAAAAATAATTCAAACCTACAATTCCAGGAACCTGAAAACAGAAGCTCACTTTTGATGTAAGATATTTCAAAATTTGCAGTAATTAAAATGGAAGGTTGGCATGTTCAACTGTTGCAAAACATTCTGTGTGAGTAACATTAGTCTCTCAGGAAATATTTTTTAATCAGTCACCAGACTACTTTGCAGTTTTATTACTGAAAGTCACCAAAAAATGCCAGAATCAGCAGGATTTTTCAAATTACTTCCAGGAAAACAGAACTCAGACTTTAGGCAGTAGGTCTTACCTGAACATTGCCTTTGGGATAATAGAAGAAAAATGGCTTCAAAACTGGAGACCTAGACACACAAAACAACAAGCATAAATGCATTTACCTAGAAATTAATGAAACTTGCAGATCATACACCTTTGGACTATTCATACACCAAACACGTGGGAAATTAAATCCATTCAACCATGTCTAGTAACGGTTTTTCAACAAACTTTGGAAAGCCTGAGGAGTGTAAAAACTCCTTTAATTCTGTTATTAAGAATGTAAGATTTTGTTTCAAAAACTGAAGAAAATTTTACTGAGGGAAAGTAGGCAAAACAGCAAAAATATTTTCTTGACAAAGGATGTTCTTCTTGACATTGAAGTCTACTACACTGTCACTAGCCCCACACTGATACCTAGGCCAGCTACACAGGGCTACTGGAAATACAGGCACAGGTTCTTCTCCCACCTTCATGTGCAGTATTTGCTAAATTACAGGAAAGTTTTAGATGAATAAGCACTGAAAGGTGAGGCTATAAATCACCACACGATTTTAGCCATATCTAGAAAGAAAGTGAATCAAGCCTATTTTTCTAAGCAAGCTCAATATTGCTATGTTCAGCTCAGTCATAAAATGGTTTCATGCTAAAATTTTGTGGGATATTCTCACATTTGACCTTACATTTCTAGGTGAAGTGAACTCATACAAATGTAAATTTGGTGGGCCCATATTCCAAACTACCAACTACAAGAGAAAACTGGTCCAGAAATTTATTAATGTATTAATGTGGTTGAGCTACTGCCTTGCCACAAAGTCACATTTCAAGCTTTCCCTACAGCTCATTAGGCAAAGACATTGCTATGAGCTGATCAGAAACCTAAATAACTCACATTTAATTCAATAAAGAATTTTACTATTTGCATACATATCCTGTTATCAGTTATTAAGCACAGTGACACAGGAAGATTTAGTTGCTTCTGTGGCTGCTGTCCCAAGCTGGGGAAGCTTGTGATGGTGACTGGTAGGAACATTATAATCACACATTACAACAAGTTAATGGTCAGGAGTTCACTTACACTCTGGGGCGCCCTCCAACAATTGCAGTGAGGCCAGGGGCTGGAAAAGGAAATTAAATTCACAAAAGAATGGTTAAAGCCTTCTTCAAAACATCAGAGCTTGCAACTTACCATAGCTTGAATTGATCCATTTTTAATAAATGCAGGGAAATCTCTGCATTTATTACATACATTCCCATAAATTGACAAAACTGAACATTTTATACAAGTTAAAAGGCAAAACACGTAACTGTGAATTTTAACAAAAAAAATTTAAATGTGCAAAGTGTGAACTAAACCTTTAGAATCTTCTTCCGAATACTTTGTATACGAATGCCAGGGAGGTAACACATTTGATAAAAAAGAATTTTGCCTTCATTTTTTTGTCATTCTTGTTTTATTTACTTTCAAAGAAAGCAGAGAAAAAATTCTGATGAACCATGGTTTCTTTTAGTATTTAATGACTTTGCTCGTGTAGATTAACTGTTAAATTTGAATCACTCTCTCTAGCCTTTAAGCTAATTTTGCCTTTTTAAGGTGCTGAGTAGTGCAGATCCCATTCTCTCTCTGTGGTACAGAGGCAATTCAGGAGTTTAAGGCATGAGCCCAGATCTGTGGTAAGTCAGCACTGTATTATCAGATTGCTAGGCTCTGTCATTAAACCCATCTGCCCAGCTCAGTATTTCTGAAAGAAACAGTTCTGCTCTCCTCATCCTGAGTATAGCTTCTCACCCCTCTGTCTGGCATGGACAGCAGGAACATATGATGCATCAGAGCTCCAAACAGGAGGGGAAAGAAACAGTAAAACGCATACATTACATCAGCCTAGGAATTAATTAACAACTATGTTAAGCAGTCCCTTTAAAAGAAATGCTGTGGAAATCTGCCCACATGGTATATTTGGCCAAATTAATTCTGGGCTTCAGACTTTCTGCAGGTGTGAATGCTCTCAGTTAGTGCTCCAAGCAAGCTAAAAGCCAGGTAACTGTGCTGTTGTGATACTAGAGCTAACAGTGATGAGCTCTACTCCACAGCAGGCTGCTTTAGCTCAGATTCAGTGCCTTGTCAATGTGGACACATACTAGTGGCAGCAGAGATTACACAGCCTTGCCATACTCATGCTCATCAGAAGCGACTTCCCCTAAAAAGTCTATAATGTTTTATAGTACACAGAAAAAAAAAACCTTCAAAAGAAACAGCATCACAAATAACCATCTCCTGCTCACTATGTACTGCTAAAAAGAAATGTGGTGGCGGACAGAAAACAATAGAATCCCTTACGTAAGTATTACACGATTTTAAATAATCCAGTGAGGTTTAAGGTCTATATATCTTACCTGTGCAATCATTCAAGCAGAACTGCCACTCAGCAACAAAACCAGATGCAGAGATTTTATTGAATTATGTGCCTAGTTTGTTTATTTAGGTTGCTGGGGAAGGAGGGTGGATATGGTAAGGTCAAGTTGAAAATACGGGTCCATAAAGCTAGTTACATTATCTGTGGATGTCATATGGGTCACTTCCTGCTAGGCAGCTGAACTGCTCATTAAGGATACCAGAGTTTGCTCCAACATCAATTTCAACTTCCTGAAAGCTTTTAAAGAAAGCTCTTCATTTGCTTGCTTTCATACAAGGGATCTTGACTTCTACAACAAACTAGTTCTCAACAAAGACAAGAAAACAGTCCAAGTAAGAGCAACAATTGCTCACACCTCGAGGCTAGGATAACCTTCTTCTGTTGGTCTTTCTGAAGTTCACGAGCACAAGCTACTGTAACAGCATATCTGTCTTTGGAGCTACTACAGCTATCCCTACAACTGTAGAGCAAAGTTATACCTTTGTGCAGAACTATAATAGTGTTGCACCAACATCCCAGGTGCAACATTATTAAGTTCTATGCTATGATTATTGTTTATGTAAATATAAATATGATGGAAGCAATATAAAGTCAAATTTAATTTTTATCTATATGAAATTCCTAGTTAGGTCTCAAGCAGAGAAGACAAAGCAAATCTTCAATTACTGATTGTAAGGCACAACCAGTTTGTTAATTCTGTAAACAGCACACGAGCACTACACCTCACCTCAACCCAGGTCTCAGATTCCTATTACATTCCTCCAGTAAACCAAAAGAAGGCAATGGAAGGTGTAGTACAACCAAGAAATAGTGAACCTTGTCACCGTGTTTAGATCTACCTTCTGCTAATTAAATATGATTGCCTTGGATGTCCCCAAGAAAACTTACAAAAATATCTCTTCATGCTGGAATTTATGCTTATGTTGCACTGCCTGTTTAAATATCTGTACAGATGCTCTCCCTCCTTTCTGGAAGGCTTATCTTTATCTACAATAACACAAACAATTTGTCCTACTTGTAGAGAATATCAATCAGTCTCAACTGCAGTCTCAAATCCCTAAGATTCTCAGCTAAATTGAAGCTCTTGATCTATTTTCCCAGAAACTTCACATGACCACTTTTTGTCATCAGAGCTCCATTCCTTAGTGCCTCAAGGAAGATAAAAGTATTGTCTCCTCTGCTACCACTGAGCCTCTTGAACATGTTGCTTCACTTCAAGCCAATGAACTCACCACCACTCTCTGCCAGCTTCTGTGCCTCAGAATGGCATAAAACTGATGCACTGCAGATTGGAGTGATTACCTCTAGATGGGAGACCTTCCTTTCAATGCATCCATATCCTGTTCATCTGTAGGTACAGTGTTTTTTTGGTGTCAAACTGAGTATCATGACACTTATTTTGACCCAAAAGCCTTTTATTTTCTCACAGTGGCTGGGGACCAAGCCTAAGAACTACAAATTCTCCAGGTGGCTGGGCATTTTAAACCAATGAGTACTGGGAATTACACCACTGGGATTCCACTGTTTTTATTAACTCCCAAATATATTGCACGGTTGGAAAAACTTAAGGCAGTAAGAATGGTAAATGTACTCCTTTCTAGGTGACTAAGCTCTGGTACGGGACTCTTCCTTCAGACATTGTGTTTACAGGTTTAAATCTGCACTGAATCTATTCAATAAATATATTATTAGTTAGAAAGTGCTTTTCTTTCATTAATCTGCACAATTTTTCATACAGTCTTATCCTGTCTTCTCATTTTATGACTCCTTCCTCTAGTCTACTTTATGTCTTACACATTTTCAGCCCAATTATCTTACAAAAACTAAACCATCATCCTCTGTGTATACACGTCCATATACTTAATTATTTGTCAGGTTTTCTTCCTTTGTCCTTAGTTCATGATTGTTTCAGCACACCTGCAGACTCCCACACTTTGGGTCCAATGGGAAATTTGATCAAAATATGAAGGATGGAGAGGCATCTCAAGAATACCAAAGCACACTAACATCCCATGACTGGCACTCCCCTGTGAGCAGAGATGTAGGAACAGATATCCATGTAAATAATACAAGGTGAAGCCAAATCAGGACACAGTCCTTGCTACAAAAGCTTGACAATTTCTGGTTTCCCATGTATGTTTTATCTCTCCAGCTGCCTCTTAATCTTTTTTTATTTTCTCACCCTGTAAAACCCTTCTGTGCATGAACTTGCCAATACAAATTCTTCTAAAAATCCCATATGATGTGCTGGAAAAGAAAACATGATAAATTTCATGAGCAGAGGTAGCAAGCAAACTAAAGAGTACTTGGGAAAACCAGTGTTGCCCTCAGTTGGGGAAATTCAGGGGAATGGATCCATTGATAACCAGCCCCAATAAAAGATGCATAAAATTAGACCAAATAAGCACCTATTTCAATATGCAGAACCACCATCTTCTAATACCTTATAATCTATATCATATATACTACGCCCTGTAAAATGCCCTACAGCAGAAAACACCCTGGTTGGAACTTGTAATCAACCTATGAGATGCAAATTTCCAGCAAAACAAGCCTCATTCCTTCCAACTCTCATTATTCACCACTAGATTTACAAATGGCAGAAAAGTCAGATGTTTTGCCTCCTTAGTATTCCCTCTATCCTATTCCAATCCTACTCGAATGGTCAAACCTAATTTTGGATAATTACTACTTATTCTTTAATCCACTTCTGTCAAAAAAAACCCCTTCTGTAGAACTCCATATATTTTTCCACAGAATAAAACATTATGCAATATACAAAGGATGCTAGACTGCATGAAGCATTTTGTAAAATGTTTTGGAGTAAAAAAGCATGAAAATGCTCCAACTACTTGTAATCTAAAAAGCTTCAAGCACTTTAAGTTCTATTAAACTTAAGGGCTTTTTTTTGAAGTTTCACAGAATTTCAAGATACAGCAATGTCTCTTGCTGAACAGCTTTCAGCTTTTGACCCTTACACTTCCAGGGATTGAATCAGCTCAACCAATAGGTTATTAATGTATTTATCACACATTCTAAGGAATGAAATAGGTTTTTATAAATAAAACCAGACAAAATAGTCCACTTGTCAAGCATTATTTTTTTAAGTGATCACACTGGAGAAATCTGAATTCTCAGGTTTTACACTCAGCAGTTCTTACAATATGGTTGAGCGCCAGTATAAAATGCATACAACGTTTTTTTACAGGGGTCAATTGTACGTTCTTAATTATTCTATCTATGTCCTCTGAAAACAGCAGATAGTTTATCTTCTGCACTATTATTCTCAAAAAAACAGGGACTGCAGTAAACTAGTACAACAAGGACATTTCTAAAAGTATCTTCCAACACACTCAGGACATCAGTCAAAATATTTACATATACTCAAGCACTTTAAAATCTCAAGTTGTATTAACCAGCTGTCATCTTAGTGTCAAACTCCGGTCATTTTAATGTGAAATAAGGGTCAGCACATGATTTCATCTATTAGTAAAACATTTCTTAGCTACTGAACCCCCGTTAAACTATAAACGCCAGATTCCCACAGTAAGGCTCTTCTTGAGCCTCTTCTATACTGCATTTCACTCAGAATAAAGTATTTGAATTAAAGAAGACAACATAAAGACATTGAATCAACAGAAATTATTTAAATTCTAACCATTTGGCTGACTGGACTGTACATAATGAAGAGATTTTCACTGAGT